GTAACGATTTGACAAGGTGACAATTTAACCTGGTGCCATTGTGACTATTTCAAAATTCAAAATTCCAAATCCAATCTTACATTTGACAGCTATGAAAAGATGATCAAGTCAAACCAAACATTGACCTGTTTATCAGGCAAAATAACTTATATCTCGTATATGTTTAGGGTCATGGCATCCAGTAAACCTATACCATGTGGACCTGCCCATAAGGCTAAATAACTTATATCTTGTATATGTTTAGGGTCATGGCATCAAGTAAACCAGAACCATGTGGACCTGCCCATAAGGCTAAATAACTTATATCTTGTATATGTTTAGGGTCATGGCATCCAGTAAACTTGTACCATGTGGACCAGCCCATAAGGCTAAATAACTTATATCTTGTATATGTTTAGGGTCATGGCATCCAGTAAACCTGTACCATGTGGACCTACCCATAAGGCAAAATAACTTATATTTTGTATATGTTTAGGGTCATAGCATCCAGTAAACCTATACCATGTGGACCCTGACCATGAGGCAAAATAACTTATATCTTGTATATGTTTAGTGTCATGGCATCCAGTAAACCTATACCATGTGGAGCCTGACCATGAGGCTAAATAACTTATATCTTGTATAAGTTTAGGGTCATGGCATCCAGCAAACCTGTACCATGTGGACCTACCCATAAGGCAAAATAACTTATATCTTGTATATGTTTAGGGTCATGGCATCCAGTAAACCTATACCATGTGGACCTGCCCATAAGGCTAAGTAACTTATATCTTGTATATGTTTAGGGTCATGGCATCCAGTAAATCTATACCATGTGGACCCTGACCATGAGGCTAAATAACTTATATCTTGTATATATTTAGGGTCATGGCATCCAGTAAATCTATACCATGTGGACCTGCCAGTAAGCCTAAATAATGTATGTCTTGTATATGTTTATGGTCATGGCGTCCATTAAACCTAAAACATGTGGACCTATCCATAAGGCTAGATAACTTATATCTTGTATATATTAAGGGTCATGGCATCCAGTAAACATAGTATACCATGTCGAACTGCCCATCAGGCTAAATAACTTATGTCTTGTATATGTTTAGGGTCATTGCGTCCAGTAAACCTATAACATGTGGACCTACCCATAAGGCAAAATAACTAATATCTCGCATCTGTTTAGGGTCATGGCATCTAAACCTGCACCATATGGACCCTGACCATAAGACTAAATAACTTATATCTTGTATATGTTTAGGGTCATGGTATCCAGTAAACCTATACCATGTGGACCCTGACCATAAGGCTAAATAACTTATATCTTGTATATGTATAGGTCATGGCATCCAGTAAACCTATACCATGTGGACCTGCCCATAAGGCTAAATAACTAATATCTTGTATATGTTTAGGTCATGGCATCTAGTAAACCTGTACCATGTGGACCCTGACATGAGGCTAAATAACTTATATCTTGTATATGTTTAGAGTCATGGGGTCCAGTATACCTATAACATGTGGACCTACCCATAAGGCAAACTAACGTATATCTTCGTATATGTTTAGGGTCATGGCATCCAGTAAACTTGTACCATATGGACCTTGACCATAAGGCTAAATAACTTATATATTGTATTTGTTTAGGGTCATGGCATCCAGTAAACCTATAACATGTGGACTTGCCCATAAGGCAAAATAACTTTTATTTTGTATATGTTTAGGGTCATGGCATCCAGTTAACCTATAACATGTGGACCTACCCATAAGGCGATATAACTTATCTTGTATATGTTTAGGGTCATGGCATCCAGTAAATCTATAAAATGTGGACCTACCCATCAGCCTAAATAACTTATATTTTGTATATGTTTAGGGTAATGGTATCCAGAAAACCTATACCATGTGGACCTACCCATAAGGCTAAATAACTTATATCTTGTATATGTTTAGGGTCATGGCATCCAGTAAACCTATACCATGCGGACCTGCCCATAAGACAAAATAACTTATATCTTGTATATGTTTAGGGTCATGGCATCCAGTAAACATAGTATACCATAAGGACCTGCCCATAAGGCAAAATAACTTATATTTTGTATATGTTTAGGGTCAAGGCATCCAGTAATCCTATACCATGTGGACCTACCAATAAGACAAAATAACTTATATCTTGTATATGTTTAGGGTCATAACATCCAGTAAACATAGTATACCATGAGGACCTGCCCATAAGGCAAAATAACTTATATCTTGTATATGTTTAGGGTCATGGCATCCAGTAAACGTATACCATGTGGACCTACCCATAAGGCAAAATAACTTATATCTTGTATATGTTTAGGGTCATGGCATCCAGTAAACCTATACCATGTGGACCTGCCCATAAGGCTAAGTAACTTATATCTTGTATATGTTTAGGGTCATGGCATCCAGTAAACCTATACCATGTGGACCCTGACCATGAGGCTTAATAACTTATATCTTGTATATATTTAGGGTCATGGCATCCAGTAAATCTATACCATGTGGACCTGCCAGTAAGCCTAAATAATTTATGTCTTGTATATGTTTATGGTCATGGCGTCCATTAAACCTATAACATGTGGACCTATCCATAAGGCTAGATAACTTATATCTTGTATATATTAAGGGTCATGGCATCCAGTAAACATAGTATACCATGTCGACCTGCCCATCAGGCTAAATAACTTATGTCTTGTATATGTTTAGGGTCATTGCGTCCAGTAAACCTATAACATGTGGACCTACCCATAAGGCAAAATAACTATTATCTCGCATCTGTTTAGGGTCATGGCATCCAAACCTGCACCATATGGACCCTGACCATAAGGCTGAATAACTTATATCTTGTATATGTTTAGGGTCATGGTATCCAGTAAACCTATACCATGTGGACCCTGACCATAAGGCTAAATAACTTATATCTTGTATATGTATAGGTCATGGCATCCAATAAACCTATACCATGTGGACCTGCCCATAAGGCTAAATAACAAATATCTTGTATATGTTTAGGTCATGGCATCTAGTAAACCTATATAATGTGGACCTGCCCATCAGGCTTAATAACGTATATCTTGAATATTTTTAGGGTCGTGGCATCCAGTAAACATAATATACCATATGGACCCTGACCATGAGGCTGCATAACTTATATTTTGTATATGTTTAGGGTCATGGCATCCAGTAAACCTGTACCATATGTACCCTGACCATAAGGCTAAATAACTTATATCTTGTATATGTTTAGGGTCATGGTATCCAGTAAACCTATACCATGCGGACCTGCCCATAAGACAAAATAACTTATATCTTGTATATGTTTAGGGTCATGGCATCCAGTAAACATAGTATACCATAAGGACCTGCCCATAAGGCAAAATAATTTATATTTTGTATATGTTTAGGGTCAAGGCATCCAGTAATCCTATACCATGTGGACCTACCAATAAGACAAAATAACTTATATCTTGTATATGTTTAGGGTCATGGCATCCAGTAAACATAGTATACCATGAGGACCTGCCCATAAGGCAAAATAACTTATATCTTGTATATGTTTAGGGTCATGGCATCCAGTAAACATAATTTACCATGTGGACCTGACCATGAGGCTAAATAACTTATATTTTGTATATGTTTAGGTCATGGCGTCCAGTAAACCTGTACCATATGGACCCTGACCATAAGGCTAAATAACTTATATCTTGTATATGTTTGGGGTCATGGTATCAAGTAAACCTGTACCATGTGGACCTACCCATAAGGCAAAATAACTTATATGTTGTATATGTTTAGGGTCATGGTATCCAGTAAACTTATACCATGACCATGTGGACCTGCCCATAAGGCTAAAGAACTTATATCTTGTATATGTTTATATGTTTAGGGTCAAGGCATCCAGTAAACCTATACTATGTGGACCTGCCCATAAGACTAAATAACTAATATCTTGTATATGTTAAGGGTCATGGCATCCAGTAAACCTATAGCACGTGGACCTGCCCATAAGACTAAATAACTAATATCATGTGTATATGTTTATGGTCATGGCATCCAGTAAACCTATAAAATGTGGACCTACCCATAAGGCTTAATAACTTATATCTTGTATATCATGTATATGTTTAGGGTAATTGCATCCAGTAAACCTATACCTTGTAGACCTGCCCATAAGGCTAAATAACTTATATTTGTATATGTTTAGGGTCAAGGCATCCAGTAAACCTGTACCATATAGACCTACCAAAAAGACAAAATAACTTATATCTTGTATATGTATAGGGTCGTGGCATCCAGTAAACATAGTATACCATGTGGACCTGACCATGAGGCTAAATAACTTATATCTTGTATATGTTTAGGGTCATGGCATCCAGTAAATCTATACCATGTGGACCTGCCCATAAGGCAAAATAACTTACATCTTGTATATGTTTAGGGTCATGGTTACCAGTAAACCTGTACCATATGGACCCTGACCATAAGGCTAAACAACTTATATCTTGTATATGTTTAGGATCATGGTATCCAGTAAACCTATACCACGTGGAACTACCCATAAGGCAAACTAACGTATATCTTGTAAATGTTTAGGGTCATGGCATCCAGTAAACTCATAACATGTGAACCTTGTAAATTAGACAAAATAACGTATATCTTGTATATGTTTAGGGTCATGGCATCCAGTAAACATGTACCATGTGGACCCTGACATGAGGCCAAATAACTTATATCTGGTATATGTTTAGAGTCACGGGGTCCAGTAAACCTATAACATGTGGACCTACCCATAAGGCAAACTAACGTATATCTTGTATATGTTTAGGGTCATGGCATCCAGTAGACTTGTACCATATGGACCCTGACCATAAGGCTAAATAACTTATATATTGTATATGTTTAGGGTCATGGCATCCAGTTAACCTATAACATGTGGACCTGCCCATAAGGCAAAATAACTTATATCTTGTATATGTTTAGGGTCATGGCATCCAGTAAACCTATAACATGTGGACCTACCCATAAGGCGTAATAACTCATATCTTGTATATGTTTAGGGTCATGGCATCCAGTAATTCTATAAAATGTGGACCTGCCCTTAAAGCTAAATAACTTATATCTTGTATATATTTAGGGTCATGGCATCCAGTAAACCTATAAGATGTGGACCTACCCATAAGGCTAAATAACGTATATCTTGTATATGTTTAGGGTCATGGCATCCAGTAAACCTGTACCATGTGGACCTGCCCATAAGGCAAAATAACTTATATCTTGTATATGTTTAGGGCCATGGCATCCAGTAAACCTGTACCATGAGGACCTGCCCATAAAGCTAAATAACTTATATCTTGTATATGTCTAGGGTCATGGCATCCAGTAAACCTGTACCATATGGACCCTGACCAGAAGGCTAAATAAGTTATATGTTGTATATGTTTAGGGTCATGTCATCCAGTAAACCTATACCATGTGGACCTTGTCAAGAAGGAAAAGTAAAGACTGAAGCTGACATCTGGTGTTACACCTGTGAAGAAGGATTATGTTCAACATGTTCTAGTTACCATAAAAGATCCAATGGAACAATTGATCATAAGACTATTGATATCAATAATTATAAACCCTCCATTGGAGCTATCAATACAGAATGTGACATACATGGTCAACAGCTTAACTTGTATTGCCCCAATCATTTAATGCCTTGCTGTGATGAATGTATTCCTTCTAGCCATTTACAATGTACGGGAATAAAAAGTTTAGCTAGTGTTGTGGAGAAAACAAAGATTGATGAAACAAAAGAAACTGTAGATAAAGATATCAACTCCATCTTACATCTCTTGGATAAAATGGTAAATAACAAATCAACAAACATCAAAACTGGAGAACAACAATGTGAATGCATAAAAAAATCAATTGTTAAAATAAGGAATCAAATGAATAAACATTTAGACCACCTGGAGAAGAAATTATGCCATGAAGTAGACATCATCTGGAATCAGGAAAAGTCAAACGCAACAGATTTAATAACTGAAATCAAACAAAAAAAGAAAATGCTCAAAAAGTTCATAACAATTTGCCAGCAGTCACAACACATAGTTCAAAACTCCAATCATTTCTAGGTGTACATCAGATTGAACAACAAGTACATAAATGTCAAGGTATGTCAAAGATCTGGAAAATGATGACAGGGCAAAAAAATTTGACATCAAAATGAGGCAAAATAATGAAATAAAAAAGATACTAAGCAATTTAGGATCAATAGAATACCTGGGAGAAATAATGGTTGTTAAAATAGAAATAGCCTTGAATAGAGAAACAAGTGTGAGTAGGAAAGCACAAGTACAGTCAAGAGAACAATCCAACATAAACAACATGACAATGAATATTGAAATAAAAATAGATATAAACATGAAGAAGTACAGCAGTGACATGATTTGTCTGATAGATGAAAGAGTTGTAGTTGTGGAATGGTGTGATAAAATTAACCTACTTAATTCTGATGGCAAACTACAGCAACAATTACCTATACCTGATGGAGCCTACTGTATAACACAGATCAATCAGAACACTATAGCCATAACTTATCCTAAGACGGGACACATTCAGATCTTCAATATGGAGAATGAAACGGTTACCAAAGTTATCACATTAGACATACCATGCTATGGTTTATCATTCTCCAATAATTCCCTGGCTGTAGGTTTGCGTGATGATGAAATCCGTATTATAGACTTGGAAGGAAATACACTGAATTCAATACAAGTTCAGAGTAAATCAGCACTGTTTAACCTTGTTTATAGTAATGACAGAGTAATCTATAGTGACGAGGTAGGTAAAGCAGTATACTGTGTGGATGGATCAGGAAAACAGATCTGGCAATATACACAGGATTTAACAGGACCAAGAGGACTTTGTATAGATACTTATGGTAACATTATTGTAGCAGACGGTAGATCTGATAGAATAATAGAAATATCAAAAGATGGACAGAATAGTAAAGTACTGATTTGTGAAGAGGATGAACTGAAGTGTCCTTGGTGTATTTGTTTTAAGCAGAATGAGAATTCAGGTTTTATTTGTAATATCAATGCCACATACTTGGCAAAATTCATTTTATCTTCTGGAAAGTTTTCCATGATTTTTTAATATTTCACATAATGATCAATTTGTTTTACATTAATGATTAGGAGTTAACACTCAACAAGTTGACTTGAAAGCAATAACTCAATGGAAATCATATCCTATATACAATTGAAATTTAGTGCAAAATTGATTTTGAAAATGACAACAAAATTGAATGAAAAATTGAAAGTATCATAAGGAAATTTCTAACAAAGTGATTAATACATTATAAAGATTTTCATTATGAATGTATAACATTTTTTGTTAAACAAAGATTATTCTAGGCATAAAGGTGGAAAGAAATATCATAGTTTGTTGTAGTACAAAAAAAATGTAGAATGAAAGTCAAATTTCAAATTTCCAATTTTCGATTTACCAAAAATCACAGCACAATATAAGAACAAACTATCAAATCTTAAGCATGTTTGCTGCTCCCATTTCCGAACCATTACATTACATTTCAATTCTAATAAAGATTTAAAACTAAAACCAGGGAAAATTCCCGATGCTTTACAATGTATGATAAAATGTTATGAAGTAGAAAAAGTATATATTTTATTAGGATAAAAACAAAAATAAATAGAAATGTTAAAAGTAAGTTTCTGTGCATGTGTCAAACATATTTCGGATTAAGTCTAGCATCTATCCATGTGCACCACTGGAGTTAAAATGGGATTTAGTCTAACATCCACCAATGCGCACAACCGGGAGTTATTTTCAACATTTTCACAATCGTTTTTTTTTTTTATTATTGAATCAAACTTTTTTTTCTCAATAAATACTGTTTTATTAGTCGATAATTGTAAAAAAATATTTTTTCAACGTAAAAGGTAAGATATATTGATTGGAATGATGTAAACAATGAACACTTTCTGTTACTTTACATCGGTCCCTTTATTGATTATTAAATACGTAACTATCAACATTATCGTTTAATTTTTAGCACAATTGCTTAGATTACACTAGTTTTCATATCACTTATCAACAATCTTTCTCATCTTAAGCTACTGTATGTGGACAAGTTAAAATTATTATTATTATTTTTAGTTTGTATTTTTAACTGATTTACTTTTTCGCTGCATGTTAAAAATCTGACATCGATAACTGTAAGTTACTTAGTTTACACATGTATTTTTCATTAAATGGTGAATATTTATTGGAGGTACTTATCTGACTAAGATCAATAATGTTTGGAAGGGATTAACGATAGATAAACTGGAATGCTGTTCTGCTTGAGTGGATTATCTTACTAAAGGCTGACACTTTAAATTTTAATAGGACATAACACAGTATGATTTCGTTAAACAGGGGTGTGGCTTACTAGTTTGACGTAGCTTTACCATATCTTAAAACAACTTAAATGACCGCAAGGGAATCTATTTGACTGGTATTAAAATGATTTGAAATGGATTAAAATAAATTGAAAAACAATTTTAATTTTTGTCAATCAAATTAAAATAATCAGTAATCTTTTTCAAATAGGGTTACTGTGGAATTATTAATATTCGTTGGTTAAGGAATGTATGCAGACTTTAACAAAACCACGAAATCTAATATCCACGAAAATGCAAGTTTTTCTCAATCCACGAAAATTGGTACCCACGAAAATTCAGATACTGTAAAAGCTTTTTTGGATAGAGCTGGTGCGATTTTTTTCAATTAGCGTTTTTCGTCAAAAAGAAATTCAAAATTCGAATTCAAATTCAAATTCTTTATTTCCTAATCACAGGACCCTTTCTGGCATTACAAAATTTAACACGATCATTCACACTTTTATACATGTCTTTCTTGCTCCACTCACTTTGATTAAGTTAATTGGATACAGTACATTGCAGAAATGCACTACGAATTAACTGTGTTCTCGGGCCAGATATTCGATAAAATAATAGTGATATTACTTTAGATCTCAGGAAGACAAGTTCACACTTTGAACTGTAAGACAAATTTATGCTCTGAACAGAACCTTGCTAAGTATTCATGGAAACAATAACTATAATGAGGTCAATTCATGACAAAAATTAATTGATTGTTGCTAATGTGCTCCGGAAGGGTAAGCAGATCCTGCTCCATGTGGCACCCTTGTGTTGCTGGTGTTAGTACAAACCCGGTAACAAGTCTAATTCAGTAGGTCACATTCGTAAACTAGAGGCTCTAAAGAGCCTGTTAATATGTGCATATTAAACAAAGGACACAGATGGATTCATGACAAAATTGTGTTTTGGTGATGGTGATGTGTTTGTAATTACTTTACTAAACATTCTTGCTGCTTACAATTATCTCTATCTATAATGAACTTGGCCCAGTAGTTACAGTGGAAAATATTTTGTAAAAATTTACAAAAATTTACAAAATTTATGAAAATTGTAAAAAATTGACTATAAAGGGATATATATAATAGTTATATATAATAATATTATATATATATATTGACTAATAACTCCTTGAGAGGTCAATTGACAATTTTGGTCATGTTGACTTATTTGTAGATCTTACTTTGCTGTACATTATTGCTGTTTACAGTTTATCTCTATCTATAATAATATTCAAGATAATAACCAAAAACGGCAAAATTTCCTTAAAATTACCAATTCAGGGGCAGCAACCCAACAAGGGGTTGTCAGATTCATCTGAAAATTTCAGGGCAGATAGATCTTGACCTGAAAAACAATTTTACTCCATGTCAGATTTGCTCTAAATGCTTTGGTTTCAGAGATATAAGCCAAAATCTACATTTTACCCCTATGTTCTATTTTTAGCCATGGCGGCCATCTTTGTTGGTTGGCCAGGTCACCGGACACATTTTTGAAACTAGATACCCCAATGATGAATTTGGCCCAGCAGTTTCAGAGGAGAAGATTTTTGTAAAAGTTAACGACGACGGACGACGACGGACGACGACGACGGACGACGGACGCCAAGTGATGAGAAAAGCTCACTTGGCCCTTTGGGCCAGGTGAGCTAAAAAAGGGAAGGGGATTGTAGTTACGACATAAGAAACATATTCGCTATCATCTGTGAAACGGATATTCCATAACGCTCAACCAACTCGTGATGGCGTCCGTAAATTTTACGAAGGGATGATTTCAACTTCACCATTTGGAACTCTTGGTTTTATAGCTTCCTTGTGAGCAGCAACCCTGTATCAAGAAAATCATAATAGGAAATACAAACCCGGGAATATTTTATCATTTGGGAGATATATACTGCGTATGCAGGCGCTGCTGGAATGTTGCTACATAGAAATTGAAAGTCCACAATTGGGAAGCTGAAATCATCTCTTTTGTCGTAAAGTTTTGTTTTCAACCGACCATCATTGTCAATTTCTAGATGTTAGTCAAGATATGAGGCAGACTTAACTGTATCTGTTGTATCCTGTATCTCAAGTTCGATGGGATAGATGCGTTGAACATAGTCACCAAATTTTGAATTATTTAGTGAGAGAACATAATCTATATATTAAGGTGCTGCTCAATAGCTATTTGTCACATATTTTTAGAATTATGCCTTCAATATATTATGACCCACCAAACAAGAATGCTACTTTAATGTTAAAACAAATAAAATTTGCTGAGGGGTTTCAACTTTTTGAAAAAGGGTGTATGGATTTTACCTCAAATATAAGAAAAATATAACACAAAACAGTAAATTATTTTTTCAGGAAAATTGTGGAATAAAATTAAAAACAACAGTTTACAACTGAAGATCAGCAAAAACTGTAATGTGATCTTGCAAGCATCTGTTGAGAAACAGTGACACCAGAATTTATCCAGAAATGGTCAAGCAAGCCTCCTAATCGATGGGTCGCTGTATTGATCACCTGTTTGAATTGAATATGGTTCATGAATACTTGCAATCCTCTATAGGCAGCTGATTGTTCAAGCATGTTTAAAATAATTTCACCTACTATTACAGTAGGTATATCTCTCTTAATGCTTGAAAGGATTTTTGTAAGTCATCTCATAAACTTCTCAAATGTACAAGATGGAAGCCTGTAAACACCAATGTTGTTCATTTTAGCACTATCTATTTTGTATTGAAGAACAATTGCATCACATACATCTGAAGATACTTGCATCTGTACAGGAACCATTGGTGTCTTCAAAAGCACTGACACCCACACAACTGTTTTCTGTTTTCTGTTTTCTGTTTTCTGTCCTGACACTATGATATTGGTATTCAAATTGTGAAACATTTATATATGTTTTGTTCCTTTTCCAAGTTTCCAAGATCATTATGTCCGCACTACCCAGATGAGAATCTGAATTAATGTGGTTCTCTTTGTTTTGAACTGATCTTATATTGAACAGGAGAACACGAGTTAGATCCTTCTCTAGCTGATCATAAAAAGTTTGAAGTTTTATTTCTGTACGTAAACGTCTCATTTTCTCTTTGGTGGATGCTGAAGCTTTGATTGCCTCAGGTTTAAAATCAATTAAATGAAGTCCAGAAAGTGAGGTCACTCGACTGCAAGCAACATAAATCATTTCAAGTTATCGTATATTTGAACATGACATGACAACATTCTTCAAAGATGTACCTTGTATTTTATGAATTGTACAAGCAACACAAAGCACAAGTGGCAGTTGTACTCTCCTTCCAACATGTTCTTGAACTTCAATAGGGTAAATTGGTGTACCTTGTGGATAATTGTGAAGTGAAATTGTTGAGGCTTGTTGTGTCAAAAATCCACAGGACGGATCATCAAATCTAACTATCACACATTTTGGCACAGATGGAGGCTTAACATTCTGGCTATATATTAAATCTAACAGTAAATATGTTGCTCCATTTGCAAGCTGAAAAAAAGCAATTCAAAAATTAACTCAAGTAAGACTTTTGCAGGTTTGCCAATACTATGCTCTTTGCTGAAAATTTCATCATCTATGAAAAGAAAAATCTTCAGTAGAAATGCTCTTGTTTCTATATTTGATGATAATCTGTAAGACAAAATTATGAAATAAAAAGTATTAATAAAATGTAAAAATCATGACCTTTTAGCCAGACCATTGTAGTAAATATTTTTTTTCTCTTATATAATTGACATTAGTAATATCAATAATAGTTTTTATATATATAACAAGCCCAAAATATGTGGAATATATATAGCTACACACGCATTAAAAGACTGTTACCAGTGCAACCTCTAGGAGGATCAACATTATACAAACGTAGCCTATGTAATGAATAATGCAGACAGGTCATGCATAATCAGACTTTAATCCACTACCATAATTGCAAAAAAGTAACAACTTGATAAATACTAATAGTAACTGAAGCTAAAAATGTGTAAAATGTGAATATAAATATAGCATGTAAGCTGTGAACATATCCTTTTATCAGTACAATACAAGAGATTGGAAAAAATAAGTCTGCTTTGCACCATAAAGACATACAGAGTAAGGCGGTGATAAAAGGTGATTTAAAAAAGTAAGAAAGCATAGAAAATGCAAGCACGCAATGCAAAGAACCGTCAAGATAATAAGACAGGTATTTTTAGAAAACAGCACGACAGAAATATCATATTGAAATAAGTGCATGTATACTAGTATGAGAAAGTTGAAATATGGTACTTACTGTAATTTCATCGACATCCAATTTGATTATTGTATGATACTCCACATCCATTTTTGGGGGTATTATGACACATCTCCACACACTCTGGTGTTAGTTAATATACATGTCAAGTATAAAGTATGAAAATATAACGGTTCTAAAGATATAGATCGGACACGATCTTAACCAGAGGACATCGGGTTGTCTACTGAAACCAAATATTTGGACCTTTGACCTAGGAAGTTGTACATACATTATGAAACACCCTCTGGTGTTGGTTAATATACATTTCAAGTTTAAAATCATAATGGTTCTCAATATATAGAGCGGACACAGTTTGTTGGGGAAAGACGGACCGACAGACAGACGGACGGACCTTTGACCTAGGAAGTTGTACATACATTATCACACACCCTCTTGTGTTGTTTAATATGCATGTCACGCATGAACTTCGAAATCATAACGGTTCTCAAGATATAGAGCGGACATGATCTGTACCATAGGACATGAGGTTGTCAACTGAAACCAATGTTTTTGACCTTGACCTTTGACCTAGGAAGTTGTACATACATTATGACACCCTTCTGGTGTTGGAAAGTATACATGTCAAGTATAAACTTTGAAATCATAACGGTCCTCAGGATATAGGGAGGACACTATCTTTACCATATGACATTTGGTTGTCAACTGAAACCAAAGTTTTTGACCTTGAACTTTGACCTAGGAAGTTGTACAAACATTATGACACACCCTCTGGTGTTGGTTAATATACATGTCAAGTATAAAGTATGAAATTATGACGGTTCTCTAGATATAGAGTGGACACAGTTTGTAACGGACGGACGGACGGACAGACTAATCACTATAGGGCGACCCGCCA